TTCATGGGATTCAAACATGTGCCTGCCAGATTCTTGTTGGCTGCATGCAACCTTACATTAGTGTTAAACCAAATGTTTGTTTATCCCTATGTAAATTGATGCATTACATTTTATTTGTTTTTGTTTTCTTATAGATTATTTGGCCTTGTAGGAATAATATACACTGACTGTAGTGCTCCTTTAGCACTTCATGTAAGACCTTACTTGGACTGGCCTCAGTGTGCATCTCCTGGGGTGATCTTGGCACTTTATTGGCTTTTAGCAACAGAGACACGATACTACTTTATTCATGTAAGCGACATTGTTTTTGTGTGTGAAATGTCATTTTAGAGCTTTATTTTCTGGATTGAAAATTTTGAATTTTCCTTTCTCTGACATTTCTACATTCTGATCAGAAATTATCTCCAAATGTATCCTGGTGATAACACCAGCTTAGGTTGTCAAGATGTAGGCCACTGTTGCCAACACTCCTTTTTAAGAGCTATTCTTATTAGGATGACGATATGACAGCACAATCAACTGTTACTCTGGAGTTCAAACCACTTCCAATACTGTACATCTACTTCTTTTTTTTGTTATGTCTTAATGCACTTTGCATGCTTTATCATCATAATTTTATCAGATTCTAGTGGCTCATTCTATGTGTACTAAAATTTTCTTGCTTGGCTTTCACTATTGTATTCATTACTCTTAACAGTTTTATTTGGTTTTTCGTTCATGAGAGAGGTAATTAACAAAGTTCTTCCTGATTATTTGAATTTTGGTTTTATAATGAACAGGACAATGGATCAAGATATGAAAGGCAAACACATTGGTGGGACCCCAGGACCTGGCCCCAGACCTACTCAGCTGAGAGACAGGTAACAGCCTTTCAGAGTGAATCTTAGAAATAAGTTCTTTTTGTATGCTGTGATTATATTAATAATATCCACAATTAGCTACAATTGATTATAGTGTGGGAATAGGTGCATTAAAAAGTTTCAGATAATTACTGTTAGAAGGTTTTAGGGATAAAGAATGTACATCATTAACCAAATATTATGATAATCACTTTGTGGGGTATTATTGTTCATTTTGTAGGTCAAAATGGAGATTTTGGCTTTAGCCTACTGGTACCTTTACAAGACTGTTTACACTGTTCTTGTTTTCTTGCCCTCAAGAGTGATAACAATAGCAATACAGTTTCCTTGGACAAAAATGTGTTAAGGGCCCTTTTCAGAACCCATTTTAACCCTTGCCTCCAGTGTGGGTTAAAGTTGTTCTGAGTGGAGCCCAAAACATATTTTACCCACAAACATTTAATTTTGGTTTGACTATTACTCATCAACAAATGAATATTCATGTAAACTGCAGCCGTTTTTTATCACTGAAGAAAGAAAAGATTTGCATGAAATTGATGTGGTGTTTATGTTAAATGTTCACCTCCATTCCATAGTCCCTAATGGTTGGGGGCCAAACCAACTACAATACTTTGGGGCCTGTTCCTGAGAGCATTGTCACTGAGGAGCCAGTCCAACCAATTCAGGAGCCTTATGAATACCCAGGAGTGCAGGGAACTCTGGGAAGCATCATGATGTTCCTCATGAGACAAAGCTACATTGCAGCTCTCATTATTATGATGGTAAGCTTCAATCATAGATTGACTTCTGTGTTGTGGCTCTTGCATGTATTTTTTTTCATTACATCTCTTAGTCAGTATACGTGTGCACTATGATTGGTTAATTCAACAGGCTGAGTTTAGCTGTTACATTAGAGCTTGCTAAATTCAAAATTTTGTTTCAGTTTAAATCTCCACCCTCTATTTTTGAAACTGATGGTTAGAAATTGTATTAGATATACCATAGGTATTTTGTTTGCCTCAAAAGTGTGTGCTCTGCCCCCAAAGTTTGGTTTCCAGGAGAGTTTAAATGATCATATTCAGTGGGGGTTATCGCATTATTCTAAGCAGTGCACATTTTTAATTTTGTATTTGTCCTGGTCCAAAGGCCTGGAGTATTACCTACCATTCTTGGTTGACATTTGTCCTCCTCTTGTGGGCGTGTCTTATCTGGATTACTCCATTTGCACGTTGGTTCTGTATGGTTTCATCGCCGGGACTTGTCATCTATGCTGAGTTACTTCTTCTTGTACAATATGTTTATGGCCTTCAGCTCACCGATGATGAGCTGCCACTTCAAGATCCTACAGGAACATTTGATTATTCTGAACTTGGGCTGAAGAAGTGGAAATTCCCATGTTTGCACCTTGGTGCTCAGGCAAGATTTTCACTTCCAGTAACATCATTTGAAGCCAGTGATGTAATATTTTTTAAAATATCTATAATAAAAGGATTCCAGTTTGCCTTGTGCTTTTTGTGTGTGCATCCAATCACAGGTAATATAAAAATTTGGTGAGGAAAAAAAGTGGCTTGGAATTCTAAAACTGAACTTGCATGTGGAAAAATTGAAAAGACAATTGTCTTTCACAATTACCATGCTATATTGCATAATAATTCAGGAGTGGTCAGTCTTATTTATTTTTGCATCGTTGTTGGTGAAAATCAATATCAGACAACAACTTGGCAACACAATTTATTAAAATGGTTATTTATTATATAGATACTGATGAAATACCAAGATTTTTCCTTTTAATAAAAAATTATATCTTCATTGTGCTCAGTGAAGATACTATTTTTATCTTTCACGTGTGAGGATATTGGTGTTGCCATGGTTACTAAATGATTAGCCAATTACAAGAGAGCTTCCTGCTCAGGCATGCAGCCGGTTCTTTGAAAATTAAAAAATAGTTGTCTTTTATGTAGGAATTTCATCAGTATCTATAAAATAAACAGAACATTACATCGCCGCTTGGGGATATGAATTTTATCTTCTCATGCTGAAAGTATCTCTTTCAGCTGGAGAAGATAAAATTCGTATCCCCACGCAGCCATGTAATATCCTCTATCTATCCACCAACAATTTCAAAACTTTTACCTGCAAAATGTCAATTCCAGTTTAAGTTAAAGTTTTTGCTCTGGTTTGCAAGGGCATGTCCTTTTAGAGCTTCATTTGCACTACACTGTTAAACTGTAGAAGTACTATCACACATAACATTGCCTTTATTTGAAAGTGGGTTTCAATTGAAGTTTTTTTTTTCATTTCCCTCAGACTCTCTTTACTTGGGTTTTTTGGGTGACATTGAGACAGCATATCAGAGAGAAGAAAATGAAAAGAAGGGAGAGAGAAAATGAAGAATCTATGCCACTGAGAAACCTGGCTCATCCATTTTTAAGGGCACTTCGAAAGATGTGTAAGTATATTGTAGAGACAAAAATTAGAATGAAAAAATGATAAAGCAAAATTTAAATAAAAAGTGTTTTACTGAATGAAACATTACCTTGGAAGGAACAATTTATATGGTACAGCTCAAAGTTACCATTCGACATAACGAAAAGACGAAATTAAACTTTAAATTTAAAGCACTGGTCAGTCTTCACATTTATCATTAGTTAATGTCAACCTATAAAAGATGAGTTCCTAGCCAGGATCTAAATCTGCAAATTAAATCTTTTCATCCATATGAAGGTGTAAGGGTAGACTATTTAACGCATGGAAGTCATCAGTGATTGAGTAAAAATGGTCATTAAACACTTCTTTAGTTATATGATAAACATCAGGTTTGGATTTTTGCCAATCCAAGCACATATGAAATAAAATTACATTAATGATAATAAATTTAAAAAAAAAAAATGTAAAATTTTCTTTGGTTATTTTTCTAAAGCCTCCATGGAACCATCCTCCTCCTCAGGTAATGTGTAAATGAATGAACTAAATGTAACCTAATACATATACATATATATATATGTTTTAAGAAAATGAATAAAGGGGGTAAGTTTCTAAAGAAACTGGGATGCTGCATTGGTGGGATAGCAGAACAAGGTAGCTTGGTGTTATCATTGAATAACGTAAATTGGACAGTGGTGAGAGTTTAGAAGCTGACATTTGGAGCATCAGCCCTTCATCAAAGGAAATGACAAAGGGCTAGTGCTGGAAATGTCAGCTTTCTAACTCTTAAGCCTTTAACTCCCAGATCAAATTTGTAATTCTCTTTACTGTCAACCATACAATTCTTATAATGTTAGTTCAGAGAACTTAGTATTGGATCAACTAATTATCCCTAAATTGATATTTTTCTTAATTCTCATCACTTCTTTGGTTGATATTGTATAGCTATTGTAAGGAGAAATTCTGTCTTGGTCACTCATGGGAGTTAAAGGGTTAATGAAGGCCAATTTACGTTATCACCTCAGTTGATAATACCAAATTACCATGTATATACCTAGTTACAGTTTTATGATAAAGTATAAATCAACCATTGTCTTTTGAAGTATAATCTTTAATCTCTAGTCATCAAGTCTAATTATTACCCAATTAGAAAGAAATAAGTAAATGAGTAAATACATGACGTAAATGAACAATTAAAAAATAATTCAATCCTAAAATCAATTAATAAACTATTGATACTTGCCCTTTAACTTTCACTAACTGTAAAGAAGATTTTGGCAATTTAATTTTCTTAAAGTCTTTTAAAAACTTTCCTGTGATTGCAATCTGTAGAATAAAGTGAATTTATGATAAATGTTTAAATTCAGTTGCAGAAGTTCAAAGCTCAAACATGGTTTATGTGCAAGTGCATATGTTTATTTCTTATCATACATTTTAGTGTGAAATGAAAAAAGTTTTAAAAGTATGATATTTGTTCACCTTTTGAGGACTTTGACATTGCCCTCTTTTCTAATACACCTCAACATAAAATCAAGAATCTTATTACTCTTGAAGTGACTGAAAAGAATGAACAGACTACCCCTCTAATACAGCTCACAGCATAATTATTTTAGTTTCCTAACCTGAATTGAATCCTTCACCATTTTCATATTTGTCTATTTGGCTACTCCACTTATCTTGGTTTCTTTTCTTGATCAATAAAGCCACTTAATGTGCAAGTATTTGCACGTTATCTGACAGGTGTATTTAATGCTAGAAATAATAGAGTTACCTTAAGCAGTAGTTTTGCCAATTATTGATGATGATACAAACATTATTTATTTTTTCAGCTGTTGGTTCAGAGGAAGGTGATTCTTTGGATCCTAAAGCATCAGATGATGCCAAAGCACTCATGATGTGGGTAAAATCAGTACTTGCTAAGTACTGGATCTTACTATGCTGTGGTGCATTCCTATTGGTTGGTTTGCAGAATGAGGTGTCAGTCTATCAGATTGGATACATGGCAATATTCCTCTTCATATTAATTTGTTATCAGGTGAGTAGATCATACATATGTATCAATTATTTTTCAGGATACCATATATATATATATATATATATATATATTGAAAGTGTCGAACAGAGGAGCTCAGAAAATCAGCGATGAAGCAGAAAGAGGATTTGCAGGGACTGTCAGTTTTTTTACTTGATTTGTAGCCGCTGGCTTTGACGACCCAGCGCCTATATTTATTTTAGGCACCTTAAAAAATGACTGCTACAGACATTACTAGATCTCCAATATAACTTTGGTGGGGGTGATGGTAGTTATTTGCCAAACAAACTGAATGAGGACATACAGGCAAATAATACGATAGGTGACCCACAGTCATTTATCCCAGAAAAATCTACCAGCCCTAAAAACTTTATGTAGTTTCATACAGATGTCCATACAGTACAGTTCATCACAATGACCTGTTTGTGCGGAACAGTACTCCAGTGGAAGCCTGTAGATGGAAAGCGTTTTATGAATGTGTTATGTTGTGGTTGAATTTTATTCTTGGTTTACATATTACTTTTCCTTGTCAGTGGGTGTGGGAGACACGCCGGCCGAATTGGTAGTGCGCTAGACTCCGGGTCGAGAGGTCTGGGTTCAAGACCTGGTCAGGTCATTGTGTTGTATTCTTGGGCAAAATACTAAATTCTCACACTGCCTAATGCAGTGTGAGAATGGGTACTGAAGAATTGTCAGGGAACCCTGGTAAAATACTGGGAGGTAACCTTGCGATGGAGTAGGATCCCATCCAGAGGGGGAGTCGTAATACTCTTAGTAGCCTCATGCTACACTGTATATGGAAGCCGGGATAGGCTCTGGCTGGGTGGGACACTGGGCTCGAGTACAAAATTTACCTTACCATAGATTTAATCACCAAGCATGAATGAATTAACAAGTCAATGTTGTTTTGTTTTTTTTTTTGAAGATATCCATTGGTACGTGGCGATTAATCCTTCGTCCCCTGTGGTGGGTGATGGTCATTTATTCAATTTGCATCTTGTTACTTATCTACACTTACCAGTTTGACAACATGCCAGTTTACTGGCACAATGCTACTGGACTATCAGACCAATGGTAAGTACAAACCTGCTGGCTCGTCTCCACAAGAAATGTCTCAACTCAATCATTTTGTCATTCGTTTTTGTTTCGTAAGATCTTGTTTTCTGTAATGTGACTTTTGTGTTATACAAAATGCCCCTTGAAAAAGAATTTTTGGCAATGCTATACGATTTGTGTTTTAGAACTGACAATTAATATGCATAAATTTATCCATAATACAGTTCTACGGAGACAATCTTTAACACAGGCTGATCGGTTTCCAAATTGGTATTGAAAATTTAAAAGTGTTCATGATTTATTTCCAATAGCAAATTGTTTCTCCCACCTGACGGCAAATGTTCCGTCTTTAGCACTTCAGCTCTTTTTTCTTTCTTTCTTTTACCAATGAGTTTCTTTCCTTAACCAAAATTTGCAGTGTGAACAGGGTGCATAGTAGTTTTAAAAGGAACGTTTTCCATAGATTATGATTTTTGTTTGCTGCGTTGTTCGCCAAGAGTTAACTTTCGCATGAATTACGATCGTCATCCTGTTTGTTTACAGGTTATACAACCTTGGGCTTCGTCAACATACAAAAGCCAGCCTTCTGTTAGAACTTCTCACTCCTACAGCCTTTTCAATCATCATTGTTATACAACTTCATTTCTTCCATCGTCCATTTCTGGCCATGATTGATCTAAAAGTGCGAAATAACTCTACCGTGCACCAGTCCTCCGCCAGGGGAGCTGTTGACCCGCATGTCCCACCACCCACGTCTCAGCAAGATGGTGCCGGGCCAGTAGGCACTGCTCGAGGGACTAGGCCGATTACCCAAAAGTCTCTGTTAGTTGTGGCACTTATCAGGATAGTGAATTTTTACAATGATCTGACTGTGTTTCTTTGGAGAGTAGGAGAGCTACACATGTTGAAGCTTGTCAATTTGACGCTGATTTGCGTGGTGCTTCATCAGGTTAGATTAATGTCGCTTTCAATATCATGCTAATTGTAAAGTTAGGAGCACGTCTTTTTGCGATTTATTTTTATGTTGCCGTCATCACAGCGGGTATCTGGGAGGAGAAACAAACAAAGTGGATCGAGATCCTCAAATCACAACCTGAAAAAATCACCCTTAAAACCCTCTGAACGTGGCAATGATATTCGGAAAGTAAGAGACACGTTTGAGGGACATGATCTACATCTCCATAGTTCGCACGCTTACAAAAAGTGCTGGAATTTAGGCAACCAATCAAGTCAAAGGCAAACGTGCGCTAAAGCTTTTGATAGGTCTTAGTCAATGGGTCAGTCGTTTGTTCAGTCATCCGGTCTGTCTGCCTGTTTGTCTGGTAGTCAATTGACTAGTTAGGCTCTCAGCCGGTTCTTTTAGACTGAATGTACAGTGTAAGACAGCTAGCTTGCCAACCAGATACCCATTCGGTGAAATAAGTAATGGAGAATTTTGAATAATACACTTTCTTTTTGAAGAGCATTATTAAAAATTATTACACTTAATGGTTGATCTGCTGGTTTATGCAGTTTCATTTTTAAGTTTTGTAGAATACGAATACTATTTGTGTCTTTGAGGACTAATTTATTCATCGATGTGTCATTCTCTTTTAGGTCTGTGCTATCAACGCAGTGATTATTATTCTGCTTGGTATCTCTATGCCGTCACATCTTCTCCAGAGAGCCTTATCTTACTGTTTTCTGATCTGGAGCTCGCTTGTTATTCTAAGTAAAATGATTTATCAGCTGAGATTTGTACAAGCCGATTTATTTCAACACAACTGCACAGACCAGGTAAGTCTCGGGGAGTATTTATGCCTGAGTGTTAGAAATAGTCACGACAAAGTAGACCAGCAGAACAAGCCCAGTGGAAACTAAAATTTATTCGACACTAGTGCTGTGTAGCCATCGATAAACGGGGTGAAATAAACCATACGCGCACACACTCACACAAAATAAAACCTTAAAAGGAAAAAAGGAAAAAAAACCGAAAATAAGACAAAACAAAAATAATTAAGAGCGATTCGCGACAGATTTTGCCCACGTTTACAAAGTAAGCCACAGAGCGCAGTTAACTCCCTCTCAACTAATATTTTAAATCACGTTTGAAAGTAGCGAATGCGATCTGACGCCGAATCAAGCTGGGAGCATCATTATTATTTTCGTTGCAACGAACAGAGCTGAGTCTCACTGTCACGAAAAGAAAAGGCTAAGATGCGCGAACATGTGCGAAAGTGTGGGTGCGAGAAACGAAGAGGGCAGGCTAAGAATAGAAATTGAAAAGCAGTTTCTTTGACCGGCAACAAAAAGCGATGTTTGACGCTCGCGCTTTAACTCTTCTCTTTTGGTCAAGAGGTTGGAACGGGCTCTGCTATATTTTGAGAAATCTTCTCAGTATGTTTGTTAAGTATAGCGGGAATGAGTCAGTACGGCTTTAAGTAGAGCTAGCAGAGATTTGAAAAGTCATATTTTGATCGTTTTATCATTCTCCTTTCTTTGTCCTCAGACCTTGCCTCGTCCGTCCTCTTTCAATCATTTTATCAACAATGCATTGTGGGTTGGCTTTTACAAGACAGATAACATCTCGGAAGACATAAAGGTATTGAAAACATTTATATCTTTTTATCCAATGTATGGTTTATTACACGTTCCGTGATTGGTCCTTCCTTGTGATCTATTTATCTTTCTATCCACTGAACTGATTACTACGCTTTCTGTGATTAGTTGTAGCCTGTGATTTATCAGAGTGCAGACACGCGGTTGACGTCTGAGCAAAATTGTTTTCTCTTTTTTGTCCTTTTCACGAGAGTCTTCAAGTTTTTTTTTGACTTCTCAGTTTTATTTTTTGTTTTGATTTTTTTTGTAGGGATACCTGCTGATCGTGATAGTTATTGTTTTACATGCTGTCATCAAACATCATCAGGTAGGCGATTTGGTTCCATTTGAAGAACATCAGTTTCCTTCGTTGTTGTCGATATTCGTTAGCTGTTGTAACTAAGTTTATTTTTTCGTTGTTGTCCTGTGCTTTTGCTCCTATATGCATGTAGACTTAATTAACCACTCCCCAAATGGAGATTTTGAAGGCCAATACCAGTGAATGAATGATGAATTAACCAACAAAGTGTTTAAAAATCTCAGCTGGCTAGAGGGACACCAGTAGGCTGTATACAAAGCGCAGCCAATGAGTTAAACTTGGGGCAACCAAGAACCAATCCAGTGAGTAGCAGGGTGGAGGGCTTGAACCCCGTGGGCACCGGATTACAAGCCTAGCGCCCTAACCGCTCAACCACACTGTTTCTGGAGAGTCTTTACAGGCTTTTTTTTTAACTAACCTGCTGAAAACGATGTTTTCCCCGTCTTTTTATTTATCGACAGAAACTCTACCGTTGGAGAAATAATTTGAAAGAACCAGATGTCGGAATATTGTTTCCGGGAATAACACGACCAGATGCTGATGAGGGAATTGTAGATTGTATCAAGTATTTGTTTAACAAGTTTTTCTTCCATTTTGGTTGGGAGGTAAGCGTACATTAATCCTTATTATGATTATTAGATGACGAAAAACTAAAAGTGATTGTAATTGTAGGATGCTCAATTTCTACGATACATTCAATGAATTGTTAATAATCTTTTTGATGCCCCCAACAATCTGGCTTAACCTGCATCATGGTTTTTGTTTTACTTACACACGAACAATCAAGAGAATGTAATCTCTTGATACAACAAGAGAATAATTTATGATGTTTTGATACGATGTATATGTTGTAGCTCAATTTTATCCTTATTCAAATTTTATTTTCCTTTGTTTCAAACTCATTATCATACATTACAATACCCAAAAACAAAAGAAGATAAAATTTGAACCAAGGTTAAAATTGAACCACAACACATACATACACAAGGTTATTATCGAAGCCCTCTTAGTCAAACACCATGCTACTCCCATACCAAACCTAAGTTAACCAAACTCCGACTTGGAATTCAATCCTAATTAAAATGGAGCACTCATCTCCAACCGAAAAAGAAAAAAAATACGACTGTATAAGAATCATACTTTAAACTAAATCATGGGTTATGTCATATTTAGTTACTACGGTAGTCTGGCGCATGAGAAGTTCGCCGTATCAGTCAGGTACCCCCTCCACTTTCCGATAACGTGACAACGTCTGCCAATCGAACGTTACTCTGCGGTCTAAAAGCAAAACTACCTTTTTCATCAATTTGGTTATTAAACTGACTGACATAGCCTTTAAACTGGTTCTCAAAACGCTTTACAAGCCAGGGGTGAGAAAGTAAACGAATGAACTGATGCTAACATTTGCACCATATTGTAAAGGCATCGTATTCAGTCGGCGTCGAACGTTAGTTTTTCCCAATTCCTCCACTTCCCCCCAACACCTTCACATGCATTGTTTTAGTGGTTGTTGGTGTTCATCCTGCTGATCAAGGAACAATTACTTTGTTGTCTGATGCTGTATTTCGCAATTTAGTCACCTGTGCTGTAGCTCGCGTCTTAAAGACTGCGTACTGGTACTCTTCGTCAAGTGATGAGATCGATTGGTTACTCGTCACTGTATCGGATGTTAGGCTGAGTAGAGGTTGTTAGATGTGACTGGCTATCCTCTCACCGTTTTCAGGTTTGCTTAGTTATGATCGTAATAAACATGGCTGTCCGTTGTGACATCACGTCAGTGGTATATGCCATTTGGTTGGGGACATTTTTGGTACTGGGCCGACAGAACTGCTCAATAGTGTGGCCTGTTTATGTGGGCTTCTTGGCAGTGCTCCTACCTCTGCAGTATCTCCTGGTGTTGGGATGGCCTCCTGCACTATGCCTGGGTAAGAAACATCGTTCTTTTGATCAAAGTTTTAACTTTATCGATGGATTACTTGTATCGGTTTGTAGTGCTGCCCTCTGTCCGTGTAATACCTGTTTTGTGTTTTTACTGGTAACCCTTCAGCTGCTCTCTAAACATTTACCCGGCGGGCTGTATCCTTTTTTTAAATCTCTGTTTGGATTTATGTTCATCCAGAGCTGTAGTGTGAGAACTGCAATAAAGCACAATGAACCTGGTAATGGCCTAACTCTTTCAGGATTTCCATGTAGCTCAGTGGCAGGACACCGCAACGCAGAATTTGAATATTTCTGGCAAGATCGCGCTCATTTTGTCTTATTAAGCTGTTGCTGAAGTTTTCTCTCCGTGTACATAAACAAGTTTCTAACCATAACCATATTTATCCTCCTGGTGTAGCTTATCCCTGGACCAATGCGTTGAAGCCTAACCTCGTTCACTGGCTGTATTTAACCGATGTGAAGCTCCCACCCGACCCTAAGCTCCTTTTAGGTAAGTCCTGTGACCTCAAGTGAACTTTTTTGTCGTGTGTGACGTACCTTGACTGAACTTTCCTCCTACAATATTTTTGTTTTTACTGAGAGTGAGGTATTTTTTTATTACAACTGATGCTACTCCTTTGAGGTTGACTGTCAGGTTGTTTTTATGCTTGTTAGCAAATGTCACGTGTTATGACGCGAGGGACTTTAAAGTTTTCCTGGATTCTCATTGAGTGACTCTTGACTGATGATGGTTTTCTTTTTAGGTGATTTCTTCCAACTGCTATTCGCCTGTTGTCAAGAAAACGTGTTCTCTATGGAGCGTTTTAAACGATTAACTGAGCAAGCTTCTTCGGGTTCAGCTTTTAATTCCAACAGACGAGGAAGCCGCGGAAGAACTGTTACTCCTGACTTCATGTGGAATATAACTTGGCTTGACTTCGTTAAGGTAGACGTTGTAAACATCGGCGAACATCAACAATTGACGTTCTCCGTTGTCACGAACAGTGTATTACGCTCTATCAGTCAAAGGAATACCACTATTTTCCGAGTCTTTGGTAACTCTTCGTATTTTATTTTCATACAGTGACTGACAGACAACATCAGTAGGAACGTTCTCCGTCCCACTTTTAGTTGTAAGAGACATTAATAATTCACCCGTCCTACCCTTACCCCTCCCCCTTCGGCACATTTGGCGGCCCAACGCAAGACATTACTTCTATCAAACCACGCCTCTCTCTACAGAAAGTAACTGGTAACTTTATCGTTACAGGTGTTCGTATTTCAACACATGTACTGGGTGACTTTAGCCGTAGTATACATCACTGTTCAAAGCACCATTAGCATCTTCAATTTTGGTTTTATTTTGTGGTGTTTCTTCTTCTTGTGGCACGGCCAAGCGCTCTACCTTCAGCCGAGGACAAGACTATTCAGACTTTGGAAAATCTTCATAGGATACAATTATTTCACGCTTTTGGCTAAAGTTTGTTTACAGGTAAAAGACACTCATTTTATTTATGGAAAATTTACTTAAAGCACTGAATGCAAACATTGTAATACGTTTTGAATGTTTTCCTAGATTTTATGATCGTGAGAAGTACATACCCGAGAAACACATTTTCGCCTCCTTCGTCACAAGGGTCAAGGATAAAATTTTGCTCTCCGTGAATTTTTCTCTTCCTACCCCTGCACAATTTGAAGTATTGCTCGTTTGTGGACACTCTTAGGTCACCAAAATTTTCGTTATAGTATTTCCAACATTAAGAGGAGTAATGGGGATGACGCGACCTGTATGGTCGGTTTACGGTCGGTTTGGTAATCACAAAAATAACGAACTGATCATCGTGGGTGAAGAGTAACGAAGGAAATTCAGGCTACGACAACACGGTTTTCCGTAAACCCCATCGACGTCTGACTACTCCTTCCACAGTTTGAAATTGTGGGTCATGTTTGAGGATCCGTTCGTATTTTTTTGTTTGTTTTGTCTCGCTTTATTTGTTACCTTTTTATTGCAGTTATTATATGCTGTTTTCAGCGAATTTTTCAGCAGACTGTGATCCAAGATTAACTACATCTTAACCTCTCGTGTCCTTATGATTTCTTTCAGCTTGTGTCTTGTGTGTATGTAGAATATGTGAAAAAGCACACCGGCTGCTGGGCGTTACAGTTATTGAGCTTGTACTGTTTGAGAGAAGGTGGATACAAGAACAACGTAGAAACCAAGAATGATCCTTGTGTGGCTCCTGATGACACGGGACTTGCTATGGACTGCGCATGCTTCACGTTCCTTGTCATACAGTATCGTGTATTCACATCAGATTATTTCAAGCACGTGGTGCGTGATCACAGAGAGCAGTCAGACATGGCCAGCAGGTCAGGAACAGTTAACAATTCACGTGTTTTGCGCTTCTAGAAGGGAGAGAACAGTTATGGCGGCAGCGAGAGCGCTCACATCTTCTTAGTGATACTGTCACAGGGATCTGCGTTGCGAACCCAGCCTTAAATTTCTACTTTTTCAATGAAACTCTTTCTCCTCTCTCCCTTTCAACCCTCCCTAAAAAGCATCACTCCAATTTCGATTTCTTCATGGATGCTCATCAATTCTTATACGATTTTACTCACAGTTAATGTAGATTTTTGAAATTTATATTTGTATTACAATACTAGGTAAATCTGAAGTCTCTGTTGTTGTGAATTGAAGTTATGGATGTATGTTTGTTTTCCTTAGGGGTGCTGAGTTAGTTAATGAACATGTTCGTGCTCAGTTAGATGCCGTGAGACGAGAAGACAAAGGGAAGATGGATAGAATCAGGAAATCGTAAGTTGAACGCTTGATAACCTGCTCCTGCCACATCGAGGTGTTACCCAGAATATTAGATGCCGCACTGTGAAAGGGCTAACTTTTCACTGTGCATTTCAGCTTGGTGCCCCGTTATAACTGACAATATTTTAATTTTGGTGTAACTTTTTTGTTTCAGGCTTCACAAGCTGAAACAGAAACTGGCCAAGTTGCACCCGGCAGGAGTGCAGTACGAACCCCAGTCACACTATGAAGGTAGCACTGTCTGTAATGCCACCGTTAGTTTTTCGCTCTTGGAAAACCTTCTGCTAGACTTAACGTACTCAGTGTCTTCTTCACGCGGTTTTCAAATCAAAAGAAATTTGTACAATTTTACGTCAACCGCTGAAAGCTCAAAGCTACCAACCAATCGACGTTTTGATTTAATGCAGGGTCGTTTGTCTCTTTAGAAGTATTTTACACGTTAATAAAATAGGCTCTGAATTGCTACTTGGTATAGATGTGACATGGATCATTAATTTGGCTTGGTGTATATTTGCTCCATCATACACAAGCTTTTTTTATTTTATTTTATTTTTATTTTTTTGGCTTCTTTTTCTTCGTATTTGGCTTATAGCGCTTGACATGTCTCGCTCTCGTTTCTCTCATCTTTTGCAGCAATTTACTCCGGCGATTATAAGTGGTTTGAAAGTGAATCAGAAGCAGAGTCCGAGGGTGAATCAGCGACGGGAAGTCCAACACATGACAGGAGTCACAGTCCCACTGAGGCAGAAAGAGGGCGAGGTGTAGCTGAGGAGACTGGAGACAAGGGTATGTCTCTTGTTTATTGAAAAAGGGAAAAGAAGGAAGAGAGAAGAAAAGTGACGAGAAAAAAAGCGTACTTTTCCGAAACGTCGAGATTTAAAATCAACTTCAACCCTGAAAAAATTACGAAGTTCAAGAAAGCAAGTTATGACATTATTAATGAGGTGTGAAAAACTTTCGAGATTTGGTTAGATTTAGCCCAACACACGGCAATGACCATCTCTTTGACTAGGCCTCTTCATTAAGCAGACCGCCTTTTAGTATTCCACATCAATTTTACCTCAAGTGGTCACCCTGCGTTGTAACTAGGAACTTTTGGGAGGAATTTTCTTGCTTCCTCATTTTGCTAAAACAATTTTGATCATAGAGAAACCGAGCGAAGTTCCAGTAGAGGCCACAGGAGGGGCAGCCTGGGGTCGGAAGAGCTCTAGCAGTTCAATTGGCAATGAAGATGAATTCGTAGAAGTTTTCGTCCCGGAAGCAAGTAGCGATGACGGCCAGGCGGATGGGTTTGTCAACAAAATTAAAAAATGGTGGAGCTGGTTGTATTACTATATCGCTATATCTGTGGATAAAGTCATCGACTTATTAAATGACATCTCCAAAGACTACAGAGAGATCGCCGGTCAGCTTAAGAGAGAACAAAAAGAGAAGAGACATGAGAAGCTACGTCGTGCTAAGCTTGGTTACGGAAGTGCTCGCATTCGGTTCGGTGAAGCTTCGGATCCCGAAGCAGATACGAAGGTGCGCGTGAGAATACTTTTTCTCTTTCATATTGTAACTTACATTCAACCCTTTACGCCCAAATATCAGTATGCATATTCTCCATACTTATCTTCATACATTTCCAGAAGTGCTGGAAAGGAGAATTTGTTGATCGCGCTTTTTTAGTTGGTGTTCATTTCTTTTATTCTTGTGACCTCAATGTGTGATTCAGGGCTGATATTGTGACCAAAAAAAAATAGATGCCAGCCTCTGTTAGGGGCCAAAGGGTTAGCAAGATGGATTTTAATTTTACTAGAAACATGGTGTGAAGATTTCTGCCGCCTTCTAAGTCTCCCAGTCTATCGAGTGTTCGTTCGCAGAGAGTAATGCTCTGTAGCTGAGAGCGATGGCAGGCGGCTATATCTCAACTTTTTCGTGGTAAACATCCTCGAAGTCCAGGAGCACGTTAAGGATAGTCATTAAATATGCAGTTAGAAAGAGCACGAGAGTCGTGTGCCTTTTTACATATATACATATACATATATACATATACATATATACATATACATATATACATATACATATATACATATACATATATACATATACATATATACATATACATATATACATATACATATATACATATACATATATACATATACATATATACATATACATATATACATATACATATATACATATACATATATACATATACATATATACATATACATATATACATATACATATATACATATACATATATACATATACATATATACATATACATATATACATATACATATATATATAAACATACATATACTGCAAATAACTGAAGGAGGTCTTTGACCGAAACGTTTTTATTAAATTTTTTATCTTTTTTAAGTCAGAAGTTGTCCATCCCCGCATTTTTTTAACTCTTTACGTTCGTGTTTGCTGTGAGGTTTGGACTGCGAATCTTTATTGATCCTCCTGGCGCGGTGCGCCTTTGTTGGCCTGAGAGTTCTAGTAACAATTTTTACATATATATATATATATATATATATATATATATATATATATATATATATATATATATATATGCTATACTCAGCCTCACCTTCAAGTAGTAATTTTACAAGTAGTTTTTTAACACACAGAGTATGACGTCACGCTTTACTATGGAGGACGAGGACGCATGGTCTGCCTCAAACTTGGATTTCGAGGATATTGACGGAAGCGCAAGCTGGCGTAAATCCAACATGCGTATCTCTCGTCTAACAATAGCTTTCATTTACGCGCTTTTGGCAAACACTGACATCCTGTGTTACATGCTGATGATTTTAAACCACATGGTGTACGCCAGCATCTTGTCGATGCCTCTTCCTTTCTTGGTATTCCTGTGGGGTATGCTGTCCATTCCCAGGCCGACCAAGATCTTTTGGATCACCGTGATGACGTATACACAAGTCGTAATTGTGTTGAAGTATCTGTTCAAGTTTCAGTTTATCGACATTACTGATTGTAATCCGTCAGACGGATTGGAGAAGAACAGTCCGTTGTGTACACCGAGAATAATTGGTATTGAACGGGTTGGACACACGTCTGCCTATGATCTGCTGTTGCTTTTGGTGCTGTTCTTTCACAGATATTCCTTGAAGGTAACATTCTCTTTTAGTAGTAATGATCTTTGTTGAGGATGCCAACGTTACAAGGTATGGTTTACATAAGGGTCCTAAAATTTAGAAACTAAAAGGAAAAAAAAGCCAAGAAGCAAACAAATAAAAGTAGAAGCACTAGGGAAATGTCGTAAATATAATACAATTTTAATATAATTTTAGACAGACCACGCTTAAATGCATTAGGGGACTCTGCTTTCCTTCTTTGGTTCCCTAGTGGACCAGTAAAACTCCCGCTCAGTTAAGAATTGGCTCGTGCGTCTCTGTGCGTTCATCGAGGTATGAAGCACGGGGGAAGTTTGAAGGGCACGAAAGATGTATAAGGATTTCTGGAGGCGCAACGTTATCAGTATCCAAATTGGAAATATGAAACACGCTTGTGTGATTAAATTTGAATTTGCTAGTTAAGAAACGGATGGATTACAAAAAGTCTATAAAATAACTGTGCTGTTAAACCATCGAACTGATCAAATATGGGTGAAAGGTGTAACCACCAAATATCAAAATACATGGGAGTCCAATACGCAACCGTTTGCAATATGTTCCCCACATTGCATTTTTTTTGTATCTTTGTATGTTCGACTTTAGGTTCACGGTTTGTGGAGAGACCACGCGAATCGAGAAGACGGTGAGGATACTGATGAACCACCAATGTCACCCATATCACCAGGTACATCCAGTATTTACAGCTAGTGGGTTTGTGACAGTTTTGAGTGGTATAGCCGCTAAAATGAGAAGCGAGGCTTCCAGAGCGCCGACGTTTTGCAGCTGGAAGTTTGAAGTGCATGGATAATTGTAATTTTTTTTATCATCTTTTCCTAGGTCCTTTTAGTAAAGTAAATTCTGGCTCTATAGTGCTGGACAGATCGTCTTCCATCGAGAGCAGCATATCAACTCAGCAATCGCAGGTTAGTCTAAATGTTCGCTTATATATTGTTCGCCTGCACAAGAAATCTGGCAAATTAACACCGAACCAAGCTGTTACGAAGGTGGTGCGTATTCCTTGCCGTCAGTCACTACTGTTTATGGAAGATCTCGGTGCTGACTGTGTTGTAGCTCTCATGATTTTAGCCTTATAGCTAACACGTAAGGGAGGGAAACGTTTTCAAACCAACCGTCTTCATAGAGAGATTCTCGCGATCAAAAGAAGTTTTTACCGTAATTTCTTCTTTTGATATTTTAGACAAACCGGCATGTGCCTATAGGTTCACAAGCTGACTTCTTCTTCCTTTATACATCAGCATAGAAAACTTGATAGCGTCGTTTGTCGATAAACATTTGCTGAAGTTGGTTTCCCTTGAATCATGCACCCTTTCCTTGGAAAGTGTGCACGGAAGTTCGCATACATAAGCAGATCTCGTCCTGGACAACGTTTTTTCAGGGCAGATTTCCATGTCCAAAAGCGACCGTTTTAGGTGGTAGACATGAAGGCTCCTCAATGAAAAACATTTAATTTTCTACCATCTGCTCTGCCAAGAAACCATTTCAAAGTAAAACGTAAAATAAGTAAAAAAATAATCAAATGTTTCTTTTTAGACAACCAATGCGACGGATGGTGAAGAGAGAAATAGCAAGCAAGAATGGTAAATAACATTCCTTGCGCATTTTAATAGCATGCAGTTCAATCAATGCAGATTTTTCTCTTTACATACATTTGTCAATTTTGTTCTTTCTTCAGCGGATTGTGCCATCCAGTGGCTACGTTTTTGCGTCGTATTTATGATCCTGAAGTTGGTTCTGGTGCTGTGGATGTTTATGCTATGATGTTCGCATGTCAGTTTATCATCTTCATCATAATTGTGTTCAGTTGGTCGGCTTTTTCCTCTTCAGAGGTAAGGAATCTCTCAGTTTTAATGAAAGTAAACGGTATAAATGTCAGCGGGGAGTAGAAGGTTTACCAATGGACTATCAGAATAGTCGGTAAAGTGGAACATTTCAATACCTCTTGATTAGACAGACTTCGGAAGCAGATGGCATGATAGTTTCCAATGAGGCCGTAACTACTGTAACCATTAGAAACGAATGAAAGCTCCGAGTTTTCATAGTTTCACGGCATCATCAGGGAAGTAGAACAAGTGTTTAGAGGGACTGGAATTGGCTGTTTTCGAGATTAACCCCTTTAAGGGACTACTTGTCGTAAAAGAACCAGTTGCATTCTGATATGGAAATTTGCAGCTAATTGTACATGTCAGCGGCTATCGATTTTAATTTACAACAACGTTAAAACATGCCATTGAACTGACATGCATTTTAACACTATTGTGACGAGTAGCGGTGTGAATCACCGGAGTTACCTAGGGGTGACTGCTTATGGGTGTTTCAAGAGTTCCAATAATATCCCTGGAATTGCCCGTGTCAGCCTACAGGGATGTGTAATGTTTAGTTAAATGAGACTTTAGTGCCTTCAAACGTGCAATTTCTGCCAATCCACGTAATTTAACACCCGCCAAGTATGTCTCTCTTATAGACTGAAAATGGAACGCCTTTTAGTACAAGATGATCTTTTCACTAGTTGCAATGTAGTGTTACCCTTTAGAACAAAAGGTGATATATTAATTGGAGTTAAAATTCGCGTAGTAGTCTTAAGACTTAAACGAGAATTCAGGAGAAATAAATATATGAGTTAATTGAGCCTAATGTATTTTTGTTCATTATTCCTCTCTCTAAGTTTCTTCTCTTTTGTATGTAGACGAAACCACAAGCGCAATTTATGCAGATAATTGAGCAAAATGTGGTAAGTTGTGTTCATCTTATTCCTCTCAATAATATGGATAAATTGGCTATCTAGTCCTCGACGACTGGTATATGTAGAGCATGCGCATTGCATGGTTCAAAAGAGGACTGTTAGAATCACTACTTGGTCATTTGACGTCATCTATTTCGTCGTCATCTCCATATCACTCAATCTAGCCGGCGCTTTCCAATTTCTCCTCTTTGGAGACTGTTTTCGGTACCATCTGTGGATTATAGGTCAGGCTTGGTAGAAAGGTATGTGTTTCAGACTTAATCTAATTGACATTTCGCCTTACTTTTTTGTAGGTGCCGAAAACCTTTCTTTACATGTTGTTATCGCAGTTTTTTCTCATCGTCATCGACAGGTAAATACGATTTCCTTGGCTAAAAGTGCATGTGTGACTCTTGGATATTGTTATTGTTGCAAGTGGTATAATTATTTTAAAACACTTCTATATTTTTTTCCTTACAGATATTTGTATTTAAGGAAGTTTGTGATTGCAAAGCTGATATACAATGTTTTCTTGGTGATTTCATTCCACTTGTTCATGTTTTTTATCGTGCCGCTCGTTACGCAAAGGTATGTAAAGGAAAGAAAAAAAAACGTTACTCGACGACGGGACGCAGTACATTACGTCTCTCTTACTGCACACAGATCAGTTTCGACATTGTTGCTCTTAGCAGTATGCTTAGTACTTGTCAAATGCAAACCTTATACATCACCTGCAGTTTAGTTTGCCAGCGACTCTCAGGGAGTTCAGTTGAAAAAGGATTCTTCGGCGTAATCCGAACAGACTGCAATTTAAATCCTTACATATAAACTTAGATTTATTATTGCCCTAGCTTTGGTGCCGAATTTTTTTTATTGTTCTTGGTTGATTGCCATTCTTAAAGGTGGCAGTTTGAGAAAATCATGAAGGAATATTTGTACGGAATATGCTTTTTGTCATCACTCTAGGCCTTTTATCAAGAACATTCCCGCAATCTTCATGTACATCTTCATGTGTATGTACTTCGGTCTGTCCGCCTATCAAGTGCGTTGCGGTTACCCAACCAGGATTCTGGGTAATTTTTTGACAAAGAGCTATACCTTGACCAGCGGAATTCTATTCCAGGGGTAAGTCTGTTTGAGATTGAAAAGATGATCTCTAACGTCGAAATTTCTCCCTCAATTCACCACTTGAAATAAGCTTTAATTTTATTTTCAATTTCCATGATCTGCCACGAAATTATTTTCAAGATCAGATTTGTCTCCATCATCTGTTATGTTACTAGTTTCCAGGCCATTCCCTTCCTTCTTGAGTTGCGCAGTGTGTTGGACTGGGTTTGTACGGATACCACGCTGACCTTGTATCACTGGCTCAAGATGGAGGATATTTATGCTAACATTTATGTATTGAAGTGTTACAGAGAATCCGAGAAGGTGAGAACAGTTTTGCCAGCGGTAGTCCACTGAAGTTATTGAATGAATGGTTCAGTCGTTTAGAGGCGGTAGAGAAGAAATAGCGGCTCTCCGCTTTTGTCCCCTTGCCCATCATGTTAAAATAAAAAAAAGTTGTGTGCTTTTGCGTTACCCAAAACGTCTCAAGAACTGATATCAAGTGGCGCGTTGTTTTCCTGAGTTTAAACGGGATGTTTACAGCAAAGGCGAGCGGTAAAAATTTTACTTGATTTTAAGCCTGATGAAGTATTGTAAAAGTCTCTTATTGATGGTCGATGTGATCGGTCTATGCGTAAAATGAAAACGGTAGATCAAAGATGGTGAGAAGTTCAAATTTTGCTGTTGACACTTGCGGCAAACGTCACCCGTAACCCCTCTCAATTGACTGTGACTTACGCCGAGAAGGTAACTTTGGCCACGGCTATGGTGAAGTAAACTTGATTCAGGAGGAGAGAACTATTTACAGGTTAATACATTTTTTTCCTTGGTGTCTAGACATGGTTTCAAGCCAGGGGCCAAAAGTATTGGACCATTAGCAAATGGGGCTTAGGCGGACTCCTGGTGGCTCTCCTGGTGATCGTGATATGGTTCCCTCTTTTGTTTATGTCCTACATCAATTCTGTATATACAAGTAACTTGCCACAGGACGCAACGTTCACACTGTCTATCGGAGGATACCAGGTCTGTGCCTACTTAGCTGTATGTTGACTTCTGTATGAGATCGATTCATTTAAGCTAACCACGGACTCAGCTAAATAAGGGGGTTAGTTTTTGGAGAAACTGTGGGGCTACGTCGGTGGGAGAGTATAACAGGGTAATTTAGTAGTATCAACACTGAGTTGATAACGTAAATTGGCCACCGTGAAGGGTTTAAAAGCTAACGTTTCGAGCGATAGACGAAGGGCCATCTTATCAACTTAGTCAAAAGCACTAAATCACACGGAAACATCAGTTTCGGTCCTATTATCGTTAAAAAAAAGAAACATTTTACTGATAAATGAGGTTCTATAAAGAGAAAGTAAATAAGATCGATAAAGAGTAACTTGCGAGCTGGCCCTCATAATCAGCGCTGGGACGCGATTGTTTCTTCGCCTGCGTGGAAAGTATGAGGCCTGGAGCCAAGCGCACCGGCGAGAGGTCTTTATCTGCATCTGGACCCAGACCCCTTGCAGATCTCTCTCTCCGGCTCGCTTTGCTCCAGGCCTCCAACTTTCTCGCGGGCGAGGAAACACTCGTGCGGCGGCGGAAGTAATAAGAGCCTTCTGTTGGGTTAAGTGAAGAGCTGATCTCCACGTGAAAGAGCATTTCATGCCCAGATCAAGTTCATAATGCGAGTCACGGCTCAGTACTTCATTTAACGTTTTTATGCTTACCTTCCCTCTCCACAGCCATTATTCAAAGTCAGCGCGCAAGAGAAATCTTTGAACGTGTTGTCTGACATGGAAATCGACAAGATAAAAGCCGATCGTCCAGGAGGATATTCAGAAACTGAGGTGCTCACTTGACTTGGCCCTAAAGTAATTTCTGGAAACCCCCAAAAAATCTCGTTTCGCCCATTAAAATTAATGTTATTGACCGTCAAATCGAAATGGTCTCTCCATTCAACTTTTTACCTTAACAAGCTACGACAGTTAAAATGTTTGTTCACCAAGCCCCCTTCAATTGTGAAAGATAATCATTTCGTTGTATTGTGGGTTCATATTCTCTGAGAGTAGATGTAGAAGCTGTTTCACTTTATGACTCGAACCGTGTGATTTATGAAGTGCTATAAAAGTTATTACTGTGTAATTAATGGAGCCTGCAAACACCCTAGGGTTAGATAAGTCATTTCGAGAGGTTTGATTTCTCTAGCCAGAAGGATTTTTGATAAGCAACCGTGACGAGAATGTCGATAAGAAAATTGTTTAATCTTCTCGTAGGTCCATTTAGCGTTTTATGCACCTACAGCCAGTTGCAAAAGACAATTTTTCACCTTGTGACCCAACGTAATGTATTCTCCCACTCCCCTATTTTCAATGTTGGTAGCTAAGCAGTATCATGTACAATACTTCGATCAAAAACTTTGAATCGAGAAAGGGGGAGAGCTTTTATTTTTTTGCATTTAATTTCTCTTGGGTTATCTGATAAAGTTGGTGAATACACTTTTTGCACAAGGTGTTTCAGTATTTTGCAACTGGCTGTAGCTTGCGCTTCGAATGAATATGGCGCTTTATGAAAACACGAATACGCCATGTTCCTCTAAATGGCTATGTAGGGACGCTTTTGATTGGATTTGTCAAGGTGGTCGAGGAATGTAAAATATCATCCTTCTGCATATCAAACTTTTTTTGTTGACTTTAACCACAAGTTTCTCTCATAGTTGGAGACATTCTTCCAAAGTTTTAAAGGGAGAGGTACAGTGGTTCAGGTGAAGATTGTTGGTAATTCTAGCTCCATCTGGACCATCAGTCCACCATCACGTGACCTAATGACTAAGTACCTTGCCTACAACAACGTAACAATGCGCTTCAGTTATGAGTTTACAAGGTGAGAGTTGGGCTACTTGTGATCGTTTGCACGTCTTCCCTTATCCTGCGAGGTTTTCGTGCTTTCTGTTTTACAAGCGGCGAGGCCACTAGTAACCAACCGGTTAGCGAGGAGATGGCTCGTTTGTCCGCATTTCTTTGCCGCTCGTATTACATGTTCTCGTCAACGAGAACCTGCTGTTACAATAGACAATTAATCCCATTTCATCCATTACCCCGCTATCACACATTTTTTAATTGACCTCGTCTCCATCAATGACCTTTAATTGACCTCGTCTCCTCCTCAATGTATTCCTGATCTACAAACTCCTATTTCCACATTCCCCCTAATCTACTTCTCCGGAAAAAGTGGTTGAAAATTATCGAAAATATTAAAATACATTTTATAAAGGAAATCATACCAGCCCCTAAGTAAGTTCATTTCAATTGGCAATCTTTTAAAAGTTTCGTTTTTTCAAGTGTCGATGTAGCTGAGGAACTGTTATTTTAAATTGCTTAAAATTCAGTAATCAGTATGAAAGAATGTGTTGGTTATCCCGTAACTTGTGGAAATGTCAGTACGCATGAACGATTTCAGATTGTCATCTCCTCGATTAAAGAATCTTCCTTCACACTACTTGTGCCGTTTTCGCTCCCGCTCTGCAGAATAGAACCCGTGAAATTTTTAATATCAATCGCAATTTGAGAGAGAATATGGTATATTCATCTTACTCTCATTAAACCTGCTTATTCATTCTGCTCATTTGTCATTAGAGAGCCTAAAACGGCCCTTGCACAGGAGACCATATCCGGTGTGACCCAGGTCCTCCTTGACAATTCCACTAAAAGTCAACTGGCTGCTATGTTAGAAGGGAACTCAACCAAAGATGACGTGTAAGGAAACCTGCTTTATATTGTTGTTAAATATCCTTACGTGGAAATTTTTAGGTAACTGTTTTTTTTTATCTTCTTTTTCCTATTTTACAGTTTCAACGTGAATTGATACATCTGTGAACTTGAAATAAAAGGAAAGATTGAGGATATTCTGCACGGAGAATAAAGCTAAACAACACCATAACCAAAAAGTTACGAGTTGATTCCTGCTCAGATTCAAATAGGCTTTTGACTTTTCCGAGGCTCTTATGTTATCTTTCAACGTTTTCGAGTTCCTCACACCTTGCCATCCACAACTCTCCTGATCATTCTTATCATTTTGTGAGTTAATTTTCATATTCGATTTCAAGGTTGATTAAGGACTTGTTCCCAAGCTTCGTACGCGTCCCAGCTAGTGGCTCGGTCACTGCAGTCTTAAATAACGACGGAGCCAACTTTGTGACGTGCCGTCTGCGCATGCGATCAAAGAGCGTGTTTGATTGGTGGGAACTGACACAGAAGAGTCCCACTCCACTTTTTGGTGCCAAGGACAATGTACTGGAAATGATCACATTCAATGACTTAGTACCGCCGCTGCACTTCTCTTTCTTCACTAGCACTGGGTAGGATGTTTAAATTATTGTGTTTACCCTTCCACTTGCAAGATTTTTATTTCAATTTTCCGCTCTGTCTTCCATACAGTCCACAGGATACATAGTTTATTGAATAATGAACAAATACATGAAAATACTACGAGCGTCTGATTGGGTGAAAACGACTCCATTTTCATGTAGCACGAATAAAAGTTGCAACACGAGTGCCAATTACAAATAGCGCGCTCGCTCGCTGCCAAAATTTCGTCCGTCTTGACTTTCTGTTATGCGTTTTTCATGTAAATTATTAACAAGTAACAACATGATTTCCCGTGCAATTTGGTGTAAATAAGCACTTGTAAATTTTTCGAAGACGACACATTGCACTCGCCCTCCAGGCTCGTGCAATTTTGTTGTCTTTTTACTCATACAGATTAAATGAAGGGGTAGGGGTGGGGGGTGGATTTGTATCATTATTTTCTATAGACTGCTAGTTTAAAGAAAAAACATAAGCCTGTTGGTATGGTAAAGTGTGTCATGTAAGATCAAGCACTTTGTCGCCAATATATTGACTCTTGATTGAGACAACTGTTAATTGAAAAAGTCATAGCGCCTCAGTTTGTTTGGGAGCAGGGAACCACGATGGTGCATTAGAGGGTGCCTCGCCTCCCACCTCTGTAGCCTTGGTACGACTCCCGACATTACATGCGGGTTGAGTTTGTTGTTAATTTTTCTCTGGATTCTGCGGTTTTTGTCTATCCACGAAAATCAACTTGACCTGGAAACTTTGGGCAAGGAGCCATCCCGTGGATGTGCCACTGCTGAATTATTACGGATTTTTATTTCATTTTGATTTTTTCGATGATCTCTTTCAGGATAATCGGACTTTATGTGGGTTTCGTTTGGTTGGTTGGCAAGTTTGTCCGTCTGTTTTTCACTTCCATATCCTACCGTATCATGTTTGACGAGATGCCAAACGTTGATAAGGTTCTCAAATTGTGCCTGGATATCTTCATGGTGCGAGAGAGCAAGGAACTCAAGTTAGAAGAAGATTTGTTTGCCAAGCTCATGTTTCTGTACCGGTCACCGCAGACGCTCATAAAATGGACGAAATACAAACGGAATTAGTGACATGTACGGAAGAAAAAGATTAGAAAAGAAGGCGTACCTTTTGTTGAATTGATATTCACTTTGGAAACGATTTGACTGAGGTGCGCCTTCGAACGTCTTGCACAATCGTAGTCGTCGTACTATTTCCATTCTTTCTTTTGTCTGTTTATGTGGTTTTTACTCGCCTTTTACATGACTGACACACACAACTCAAGCATGTGTTATTTGATTTATTGGTAAGGGTACCATTTAAAGTGCTTTTCCTTTGTTTAAGTTCGTAAAGGAAAAACTTTGAAAGAGAAATGTGGGTATAGCTTTGTATGCTAGTTAGAGCATCTTATTCATGCCGGCAAGCAGGCGGTTCAGTAGATTGATTGAGTCTGCGAAATACTACTGATGAGAATGAAAACTGAAATGAAGAAGTAATGATAAAGTATAATATAATTAATTGGATGCTTTCCTACGACTGTAAGGTTGTTAAATGTTTCCTATTATTCAAAGTTGAAAATCATAATGGGGAATTTGCAAATTTATTTTTCCTGAAAAGGGAGAAACAAGATGACAAAATATTTCATGAAGAATATTCAAATTGCTACTTGCTTTCCAGCAAGTACAGAATAATTGCATGTTTATATATGAAATAACAGTAAAAGATATTTATCGTAATCAGAGACAAAACTTGATATTTATTGAAGATCCCTTTCCAGAATTGCTGAAATTCACAAAGATTTTGTACGCATAATCCACCAGGCTATTTTGGAAAGTCAACCAAAGGCAATTGTGCCCTTTTCTAGCTATTGATGCGTTTTGAAATTAGAATACATTGTGTAACGATAAATCTTCTCTGTGAATCCCTACGTAATATATAGAATTTTTTTAACTAACGGCCATTGTGTTCCCTTAGACTGAAAATTAAACCGCAATTTACAGTAATATTTTTTTATTCGGGAAGCAATATGATGAAAGTGACTGCTACCATGATAAATCGGGGAGAAATTTGAGCTATACTACTGGAATTGTACTTAATACCTCTCTACTTTTTAATAAAACTGTTCAATTGGTATTTCGTGTGTGATTTTTTGACTCATTATCTATATGCAGGCGGTTTGAAGGACACTCAATGGCAGTTGGAGTTGGAGGGGAAGGAAGACCAGAAGTAATCCCGAAACTTTCGTCACACTCTCTTGCTGACCAAAAGTATAAAAGCCGCGTGAAGAATTGCACGCGCCGTTTCGTTGAAATGATGGAAGCTGATGAACGAGATCTGTCATATATTTCGTCCCAGTTTTCCCTGTAGTAACCTCGTAGTCCATCCATGGTGTTTCTCTACTGTTGGGCTTTTGAAGTGATGCTCCTAAGTAATTTCTTAAGTTGTACATCAGATCGCCGGGAAAACAGTTGCAATGAGCGTACATCCTCCGTCTGTTTTTGGTAGTTTGAGAAATAGAGGCTAAAAAAATTTTGTTAGAAAAGATATGACAATTTTTTTCCCCTAGACAGCGTAATTTCCGTAGGGCTGTTAACAGCGTGTACGTTTTTTGAAAAAAGAGGCGACAGCAAGAAGCGTTTTGGAATACAGCGTTTAATCAGTTCGTGTTAAAATTGCTAACACCGAACGCTCCCAAAATTTACTTCTTATACCACAGGACAATATTCTTTTTTTGAAAAAAATGAGAGCACTCGCCGTCTACTATTGTGGTCCGATTTCTATTCCCAAAGCTTGCGTTGAGTTTGATATTTTTTCTCGTCGGAGCCGGGTTTTCTTGGAGTTTCTTCGGTTTTCCACCTTCAACAAAAACTAACACAAATTCCTACTTGGGCTGCTAAAATTGAATATACAGGAATAGGCACAATGTGGTTGCCTGAGCCAAATTCGATTTATCATATTTCTTTCATCATCTATTACTTCCGCGATAGCTGAGTTAAACTCCATGAGGTGAACACGTGCTAACACTTTTGTTAATTATGATTCTTGTGCAGTTTTTTTTAATAAAAAAATATCTGTTTCCAGTCTCCACTTCACAATGGACATCTATTCCTACGTCACACCGACGTTACTATTCGGTTACCGAGTAATACCTTCTCATTCTCCTTCGCGTTGCTTTCTACGACTATAGCGTAACAATTAAACTCGATTTCTTGGTGTCAAGAAAGAAACTAACGAGAAATTATAATTATTTTAAGAAATATTAAACAGAAGTATAGATTCTTGTAAAATTTTGTGTTTCCTCCACTTAGCTGCTTTGAAAGCTTAGAATCACAAACTGATCAGGGTAAATAAATCCACGGATGCAATTAAAAAAAGAGTTTTCTTGTCGATGATAAATACATGATTTCTTGCAGTCGCTGATTATTCGCTGTGAATCTGAACTACAAACGTTTACGCGAAATTAGTGGGCAGTTTTTTTCATTACGCCTCGGTTACCTTTCGTGAAAAGAGAATACGTTTTGACGAGCCGATCTTATTCATTTATTTATCATATAGGTTCCACGTACAAATTATTTCGGCCTCGACATCTTTCTAAATTATTTTCTGTGCTCTGTTTAAGTTGCGTATATCAATTTCGTCTTTTCGAGAACTGGCAAACTTCCTCTAATAGGATAAGAATATGGAAATCGTCTTCAACGGAAGTATTTTTCTAAGTGACACATTTTAAAAATTGATTCACTTGTTTTTTGAGTCATGAAATTAACTAAGGAAAATAGTGTTTTTTCTTTCCTATGAGGAAATTAGGCAAATTTAATAACTTGCGCAGCAGGTGAGAGTGCTTTAGTTTCAAAGTATAAATAAACGGAATAGCTATGCATTTTAAGCAAGATATTTTCACGCGCAATCGAAAACTGACTTGAAATAAACTTAGTCCTTTCGCTAACCAAAGATAGCGGAATATTCGACCAAAGAGTGATTAATATGGCCCTTTGTAGAGAGTAAAAGGCGAAAAGCGATCATTACAGAGTCTTCAACCACAGCTTTATACTGAGATTGATACCTTGGTTTGGTTTGTTCGACACAACCCACAAGAGTGGTACTGATTGGATAACAGCGCACTGTATTAACTTAATTTATCAGTATCTTCCAATCGCCTACGGATCCAATTGTCGCTTTGTGTTGCATAGTGCTATTTATCGCTTATTAGCGCCGTTTCACCGCTAATTAGCCAAAGAGGGTTTGTAGAGACAAATGGTGTTTTGATTTCGTAAAATATACAGTTCTCTGATAAGCGGATGCTGTGAGAAGCGTTCAAATGTGATAAAAACTGAGTGTGTATCACGAGTCGAGACTCTAACACCGAATCGACATGACTTCGAGTCGGGGGTTCTCCATATTTGTTGCGTTAATCTTCGTGAATTCTTGTTTTTCTTCGGCAACTGAAGTAAATATGGAAGGAACAGGCTACATTATCTACGATCTTCGTTCCAATATCATCGCATCCCTAACAAACCATATCGTATTTTCGTTTAAAACGTTCCGTCCTTCTGGATTATTGCTTTACAGCAGCGGGTCTCAGGGAGATTTTATATCTATTGAGCTCATTCATGGACGATTGAGGTAAGCACAGTTCATTTGAAATTGCTGTTAAAATTGGGACAGTTGGTAAAACTCGATTCTATAGAAAACGATGTCAAAAACATCGAGGCATAGTTTACGCCGAAGAATTAAAAAGCTCTTGAACTAAACGATCGATGTTTAAAACGAGTACGAGTATGTCCACCAATGGGCATGATTTTTTTCTCGACTTCGAGCTAGACTATCTCTAACGCAAAAGTTGCTTCGAAAGAGAGCCTCTCCCCTTCAATATAGTTTTCTGTCAACTTCAGAGAAGTTTTTTTAAAAGTTTGTAGCGTCAAGCTAGGTAAACAAAGACCAGAAATCTTGTATATCATGTTTTAATTGCTTTGAAAAGAGGTGAAAATTAGTCAACCAAAGAAGTGAGATGTTTTCAATTTGAACAAAAGTAGATGATCAATAGCTCAGCGTTTCTAATAAGCCTCACAGAATTGTTGATAATGCATTGTTATCTCGGCGCATATCAAGCCTTATATTTCACTTAGTGACTAAGAGATGCAAATTGATTCTTGGTCATCGACAAATAGTCAAACGCTCTTTCTCACGTAACATCGAAGCTGGCCAAGAATTCAACTTAACCAATAATTGTAGACCATGACGCTTTCTTTGGCTGAGTAGAATATCATTCAGCTGTCGAGAAAGCCTTGTTAGATAACCATACTGGATAGAATGGCATATTCAATTAAACATGGGAACATCTCATTTAACAAATCTGAAAATGTTTCTTCCGTCCATGAGAACAATCAATGTCGTCAGGAAAATTTTCAGTGAGGATTTCTTTAAATAAATGACTAATATAACACGCAGATAACAATTTTAACAGAGAGTGCATGCAGGAACACAGTTTCTTCTCTGAAAATTGTTTTTGCAATTACCAGGTGGTATCGGAGTAATTAAAGTGTGAAATAAACCTCATCATTACAATGTGAAGATTTGAGCTTGAAGAAAAACCTACTTGATGTAAACCATCGTTTTGCAGTGCAATCGTGATTGTTTTTTTCTTTTTATCTTGAATCGGTGTTCACCATATATGCAAACGGTGTATTTATTAGGAAGCTTGCACAAAAACCCAGTTTAGATATCTTTAGCACTCTTTGTTTACCTGCCAAATAACACAATGCGTATTTTTTTGCAACGTTTTGGTTTTAGTCACCTGTCGCAAGAGAAAAAGACAAAAAGAACCTGAAAGAAAGATAAACCGAGGTATAATTACACAAAGGCACGCGCCCAATTATTGTAATAGTACCTGTTAAGACGGTGAAGACAGATTGAAATGTGCTGTGAATTTTATTCTTACTTCGGTCATAAACATCAAAGGTAATGTTACGAACGGGACCACTAAATTTTAGCAGATAAAGAATTTGTAAGAGTCAAGAAAACCATGTCAACTTTTTGTCCTTGATCACTCGTTCCTTCCCAGACATGTGGCACACTTTGCAACTTTATAGATTGTTATCTTGTAACATCTCTTTTTCATAGAAAATGAAGCCCCTTATTTTGGAGAGCGAAGAACGCTATACACTAGTATTTTCCAAATCAACTAGGGTCGGAAACAACAAATAAAATTAGTTTGAACTCTTTCCGTGCTTGCTTCGATGAATAAACGAGGGGAAATATAGGAAGGGAGCTTGAATTTATCGCCAGTTGATAGAAATTGTGCTAGACAATTTCAACTCAACCATCCCGTCTGAAAATCCTCCTTATCAAAGAAAACTTAAATTTGTCTTTTATGTATTTCAGCTGCCTGTGAATGAACACACTGCTATTGTTTCGTTACTGGCGATAGAAAGGTTTATTGATTCGCAACTCATTCGGATTAGGGTGTGCCAAACTATTGCAGTAAGTTTTGTAAGACAGCGTCATAAGAGCTCCTTAATTACGTAAACTTCAAATATATAAAAGGAACCTTTATGAAAGATGAATTAGAGTAATAAATTTTTCTCTTTTGTATCGTCAGAATAAAAAAATCAAACAAAACCCATTCAAATAGTAGTTTTACGTTATAGCGGACCTCCCACGAACACCGAGCAAGTGGGGTCCCATACCTAAGATAATAAGAAAAAGTTAGATAGCCATAAAAAACAAAAACCGCGATAAATAACATGGAAAATTTTAGATAAAATCTTTTCGTAATTACCCTCGAAAAGGTTTCTGTTACAAACTATGCAATGCTCGGCTTTTCCGATTAAAATATTTCCGTTGATCAGAATCGGTTGAAAGTTATGGGTATACATTATTACCATTATTATGTCTAAGACCGCTCCACGCCGAGTGACGAGGATAAATAACGTCGATAAAACTAATTGACCTCCTTTATTGAATTCATGAAGATAAAACTAGCGTTAATATCTTCTTTGCATTTTATTTCAAAACCCACTTCAATTTGTGGAGCATCCGACCACGAAAACAGCGTCTTTCAAGGTAATATCCTTTTGCAGATGTCCCACGCCCGTGACCTAGTTGGATTGCCGCGCTGAATTCAAATTCATAGGGCG